CAGGTAGCTCATGACCCTCTTGTCCTGTTGCAGAGCCAACACCCTAGTTGGACCTCTGATCTCACCATGAGCCACAATGCCCTGCTAACAAAATGTGGTGGCGTGACCATGGTGCTGAATGGGAGCCTCCATGGCTGGGGGGCAGTCTGGCAGGGCAGGGCAGAGCCTGGCAGGGCAGGACTTGAGGACCAGGAGGCAGCCCCGGTTCTTCAGGGTGAAGGCCTGGGGAAGGGAGAGTGTTTGGCCAGACTGCCTGGCTTTCAGGAGTTCAGGTTTGTGTTAAAAAGTAAAGAGTTAAAAGTTCTGCTCCCTGCAGAATCCAGAACGTGGTGTTACAACAGAATAAAAGATTCAATACTTCAGTATTACAATTTGGACTCAATGATCCCTGTGGGTCCCTTTCAACTCAGGATATTCTAATAGGAAGAGAAAGTTCCAAGAGATATCCTCCAGCCACTCTGCAGAGGAAGCCTTCCAGTGGAGAGCTGCCCACTGATGCTCCCTTTCTCAATGGCCCTCGCATGCACAAACACTCTCCCTCTCAGTTTTCCCCAAACCTTGAGGTCCAACTCTGCCTGTCGTGCTTGCCAGGACCTGTGACCCCACCTGCATAGGAAGACATCTCCTGGCGAAGTGATGCACTTGGAATAACATGGACCACTGCTTTCTCCATTCTTCTTATGCTTCATGTGCCCTGAGTTCCGTGGCAGATGAGCCACTGGCTGATACCCTGGCTGGAAGATGGATGAGCCACCCCCATGCTCCTGACACAGCCTGAATGCAGACTTTCTGCTTTCACCTAGGTTTGAGACCAGGAAGAGGAGATGTATTTCCTGAGAAAAAGTGACAGGGTTTGTCCTGGTCTTCTTGTTGGATTCTGGGAGAAAAATCAAAAGGTTTGGCTCTTTTGTGAGGGTAAGCGTGGGGGTTTTTTTCCCCTTTGTATATTGTTTTGGCATTTTTTTTATTTTTAAGACAGTGACAGGAAAATTTTCCTCCTTAAGAGAAAAAGAAAGCAAAAGCAGAGACTGGTAGTGTTGACCGCTTGTCCATGGACAACAGTGGTCCCATGATGTCCAGTGGTCCCTAATGTCCACATGGAGACTGTTTGCAGTGGTGCCTAGAGCTAATGAAGTATGACTTTGAAGGGGGCTCCCAATGCTAGTGCAAAACAAGGCTCACAAGTTTCAAATGTTTGCCTGGATAGTCTCCAGACCTTCTGCCCTCCTTTGGGCTACAGCTGAGGTTGGAGACCTTGGAGCTGCAAAGACTTCAGTGCGGCTGCTTCCAAGCAAAACCAGAGCATCACAATGAAAATAAATAAACAAATGGTGCTATTCTGAGCTTCAGACACATTGGAGGGTTTCATTTGCACCACACCAAGCAGGATGAGTCCCTCTCTGTTTGGAACCAGTGTCTTGATTTACAATTTATTACTTTTTGATGAATTCCCTCCTCTGTCTTCTGAGCGTGGAGCCTGCACACCATTAGGACACTCTCAGCTCACACTTAAAGGGCTCTGCTGATTTCCACTAGCATGGTGCAGGACTGATTCACCCCCTATCAGGATGAGCATTCACAGTATATTTCCATGACATGCAGCTACCTCTCCATGCCTCATGTTAAAGAAACCTCTTCGCAGACATGGTCTTGTCCTGACACCTCCAAAGTCACCTCTTAACACTCCCTGCACACCTTTTGGCTGTCACCTCTGCCTGCAATGCCAGTCTAAGACCTCTTGGTTTAGCCGGGGCACTTGCCTCATTTATTGCTGGTAATACTCAGCAGCTGGTGGCCCCCCTCCTCTCGCCCAACTCCTCCCTCATTTCTTCTGGTTTCTGGGATGCTCCAGCTTTCTCCAGGGCTGCAGCCTTGCAGGATTTTCTGCATCATTGTGCTGCACTCTCAGCTGGTTGCAGTTCTTCATGCAGAGTCCTCATGGAGATTCACCTTTCTTTCCCCTCCTGGATCCCGTCCAGTCAAATTCTCATCCCAAATCCTCCCTCCTCCCAGCAGTTCCTGTGTTTATGTCTCTCGGTCTGGTCAGCCCCTTTCCCCACCTGCCTGTACACGCATTGCTCACTCTGCCTGAACCAGGATGGGAAGTGTGAGGGGGCGGGAGCTGCCTAATCTCAGGGATAGACTGGACTTGTGATTTGGATCCACAGCTTTGCTTATCTGGAAATCCTGCTCAGTCCCTGGCTGGAGCGCATCCTGAAAGGGGAAAAGTTTCAGGGAATTCAGGCGGTAAGCACTATAAGACTGCCTTAAGGGAGCACATGTGAAATGGAATATTTCAAAGACTTGGCTAAGTTTGGCGGCAGCAAAGGGCACATCTGGACTAAACCAAAGGCCTTCCCTGCTTCTCCTTTTGCCAAACTTCAAGTCCACATGCCAAAGACATGCAGCTTCAAGAGCTCTTTAAAGCAAAGGTCATCAGATTTCTCTGTAACAAAAACAAGAGAAACCAAAGCATTTCCCCTTACAATGTTCTTGGAAGTAGATGAATCATTTTGGCTGAAAATATATATTTTATATTTACTTAGATACTTCATCATTAGGCAGCTAACCAGCAAGATGAAGTTCAACCCAAACAGTTTTAGCATAGCTGAGTTAAAACCAGCTGAATAACGACACTTGGCATGGGAAGAGTGACCTCAGGCTCACAGTGCTGGGCAGGAGCAGACTTACCTGCAATGCCTTGTGCCTCTGCTTTCATAGAGCTGCTGGAGTGGAGGTCATGTTTGGTCAGGGTGAAGGAAACTAAAACTTCCAACCTTTTTTGCCTTTACTTTCTTTCTCCCTCGAGCCAAAATAGCAGTGCCCAATCTTTAACCTGCAAGTGGTACCCAGGCTCCAAACTCGGTTTGGAGATGGAGCTCAGGGTGGACAGGGTATGGTTGCTTATGTACAGGAGAGTTGGTCAGCTTATACCAGTGCTTTTCAGCTACCTCAAGCTTACACCTCATGAGAGTTATGAATGGTGGTGTATGCTGCAACATACCCTGCATCAGCAGGAGGCTTTGTGGTCCTCACAGCAGGGCAAGAAGGAGAAGGGAGAGGGGAGCCAGGCATCACAGACCAGTGTGCTGGGAAGTGGGGCTGTGCAAGAGGAAATGGCAGAAAATGAGGGTTCCAGGGGCAGGCGGGACTGAACAAAGCTGTACCATTGCTCAGGGCTATACAGCATCCTCTCCCATTTTTCTGCAGTGCAATGCAATGGTGCTTCACTAGCCACCCTCCTGGTGCTCTGTGGCATGTCTGTGTTCTGCCAAGCTGGGGAATCAGCATCCGAAACAGAACTGATGCTGCCAGGGTCTGGGAGGAACTTGTACTGCAAGGAGACCAGCACTGGGATGTATAGCTGGGCCATAGCAGATGGCATAGGGCTGCATTGCAGCAGTGGAGTTGTTGCAGAGGATGGAAGAAGCTTGAAGTCCCTGGCTAGCACCAGCCACTGCAACACCATGCACTGAGAGGTGGGTATGGATGTTGCATCAGTGCAGGATCTTTTTCCCTCCTTTCTCTCCTGCCCCACCGCTGTGCCCTGGCATGGGCCACTGCTGCCACAGACAAGGAAGCTGACCCTGCCATGATGGTGCTGCTGTGGGTGTAGGCAGGGCTGGGAAGCAGTACTGCCCTTTGCAAAGGTGCTCCATGTCCTCAGAGGTGCTGGTTTTACTCTGCTGACAGTTTCCTGTGAGCGTTCTATTTCCTCTCTGGGAGACTAAATAGCCTTTAAGCAAGGAGAACCTGGCAGCCATCCCAGGCCCTGCTGTGCTGCTGGGGTGTTTAGGGAGGGGAGAGCATACCCTGAGAACAGGGGCTCATGGTGTAGCTGCAGTTTTCACAACAGCCTCCTTGCTCTCCACCTCTGCCATGGGAAGGGCTCTCCACATCTTGTTGGTACTCAGCTAGGAGCAAACTGTACTTTCCATTCTGCCTGTCTGCTGGGTCTGTGGCACCAAACAGTGTCTCCCATTTAAGTACTTCTTGACACTGGTGATATGGACACTTTTGACAAAGGAAGAAGGAAGGAGGGACATGTCAGGACCTGGATAAGGAAATAAATATTTAGACTCAAACCCACAGAAGATAATGTGATGCTTTACATCTGTCACCAAGATGTGTTAAGCAGCCTGTGAGGTCAGGAGAGTTTGCCCATCCTGTGCTCAGGTGGCTTGTGGGTGCTCAGCATAGCTCCAGCATTGTGGTACCTCCTGCCAGCCTCAGTCATCTACTGATGTTCCTTGGTCTGAAGCTGATGGAGGCCAGGGATGTGAGTCACTGGCCTCTGCTGGACTTCTTCCATGTGCTCCATTTGGTGCTGCTTTGTGTGTGTGAGAGTGTGCTCCCCTCTCCCAGCTGTGCGTGTCTGCCTGCCAGCGCGCTGCTGATTGAATTTGCAGCTGTGCTGGTTTTCTCCTCTCTTCTAGCTTTGAGAGTCTCGTTCATGGGTTAGGGGGAAAGAAGGAGGAGGAGGGAAAATGAAAAATAAATTAATAAAGTAACACAGGGAGAGATGCCTAGTAGAAGTGGGTGTCTTCCCCCCAGGCAGCATAGTGTGTCATCATCCCCACTGTGCCTTCACTATTAGCAAGGAGAAAATGCCGCCTCCCCTTCTACCTCCTAGAAGACGAATTGGGGTCCCCGTTGGAAGTCCCTCCACCTTGCTGGGGGACTGCTAGCTCCTTTGGGCACCACGTTCATTCCCAGGAAAAACCAAGCCACTATCTCATGGCTTTGCACCTTGTTCTGCTGGGGCTGCTTCCAAGCTCTCCACAAGGTGAGGGGTCACCCATCCTGCAGGAAGTAGATGGACTGGACCTTCCTCAATAGGCACCATCAGCTCTTCATCACATTGTACAGCCCATATAGTAGAAAGGTGGTGAATACAGAGCTGGACAGCCCCTGCAGCAGGAGCTGGCTGGCAGCTGCAGAGCAGGACACACAGCTTCACGACCCTGTGGCTGACAGCCTTCTTCATTGCAGAAGCTGCACAAGAAGTCTCCAGCTGTGACACTTTGCAGAGGAACCATCAGACATCCCAGTGGGGAGAGCACCACATGTCAGGAGGAGTTTGGAGGTAAGTTCTGCTCTTTGCAAATGATCAGGGTGGGCCTTGGGGTGGATTGGGCCCAAGATCCTGATTCCTGTGGCATCCTACAGCATAATTGCCAGAGGGTCTTGTGGGTCAGGAGGTGAACCAAGAGACATTTCTGAGAGCTCGAGAGGCATCCTCCTCTCTCTAGTGGAGTGCTGGAGACTTGGGTATGTCAGTCTGAAGCTTTCCTCTGCATACCACAGAAAGGTTTGCCAAATGATCTGTACCCCAGTGTGCCCCACAAAAATCTGCAATGGGTGATGGCACCCATTGCATAGGGTCTTCCAAGGATGAGCAGGACTGTGGGAAAGGGGTCGACCAGCCAAAATGGTATGGGTTGTACTATACACTGTCTTGCTTCTCTATGTTTTATGATTGATGGATATGACAAAGACCCCACAGCCATCAAGATATTGTCCCCTATCCTGAGCCTTTCCTTTAGCAGACAGTTTCTGAAAGGGTTAATTTGGATTCCCTGTTGCTTGGCCCTGTTAATCCTGTCTTTTCGAAGGGAAGAGCAATGGCCTAAAGCTTGATTGTGCTTTAGCTGGCATGGATGCAGATCTGTTGACTCCAAGGGTTCCTCACCTGTGCAAATGAGATTAGGCAAGGCCCCAGGGACATGGGTCAAATCAGGACAGAGTCGTGGCTTCCCAGAGAGGGGCTGGGAGGGCCGTAGCTTCCTCAGCAGCTGTGAACCTGCAGATACGATGGGGAAGGCACTCAAAGGGTCTGGGCTGGTGTTTAAGCAGCCTGGAGCGGACCCAGGCTGACTTTACAGTTTACAGCTGAGGTGTTTCCTGCAGGCAGCAGAAGGTATTTTCCCAGATTTTCTGGCAGTCCCCACTCACAGCTGGAGAAACGCTTTGGAATTGAGTTTCCCAATGAGATATCATGCCCATGTGTTCTGTGGCAGACAGGTGCTTGGGCATGAGAGAAGTGTGGCCACAGCAAAGACCTCCTTGCTTTTCACTAAGGTGCCCAGGTCTGTGGGGGAAGGACGTCTTGTGGTCTGGTCCCAAGGCTAAACCCTGCGCTCAACCTGACCTTGCTCATCTTATAGCCTATGGACTTTCTCTGGCTTGCCAAGCCCAGGTGTGATTGTGGCACACCTCTGATCAGGGACTTTGCCTCCTGATCCAAGTGCTTGAGGTAGCATGGTGCCATCCCTCAAACCAAGGCTCTCCCTGCCCTGGCAAGGCTGGCACAAGGAGTGACCCCTCCCTGGGTTTAGGGGCTGGCAAGGGTGGGTGGGCTTCAGTTGCTTGCAGCATGTCTATCAGTGCCATGGGGCAGGGTGAAGACCTCATGGCACCAGGCCAGAAACAAGTTTGTGGGTAAAGAAGGGATATCTGCTGTGTTGGGGAGGGTGAAAGTGAGGAAGGAGTGGTTGGAGAGAGGGGACCCCTGTCTTCTGAGGTGCTCAGCATCTCACAGGATAAGCCCTCAAAATTCCAGGGGGTCTTCAGTTTTCCTCAGATTCTGCATCCTCTGCCATTGTCCACAAGCAGCAATCTGGGCGCGCCTCAGATAGGGATCTTGGGCAGGAGCATCCTTCCCCATCTCCTGCCCCACACCAGAGATGGCTGCCACCTGGGACGAAGGACAGGGGCAGCAGCGCCCAAAGGTGGCTGGGCTGGGCAGCAGGCCTAGGGAGGGCACAGCAACAGGCAGCTGCCCCGGCAGGCTAGCAGCACCCTGGTGGGCGCAGAGGCCAGAGGGGCAGACACGGCAAGGGAGGCAGACATGGCAAGGGAGGCAGACATTGTAGCCTTCGTCCCACCCACCACACTGTTCGAAGGAAAGTAGAGGGCTGGGAAATTTGTCTTCACCTCCCCTGTCCCCCGTTCTGAGCGGTGAGAAAGCACACACGGTACCTCACGGGGAGGGGGTCACAGCTGGCACCCCAGCTCAAGCAGCAAGACTGGATGCTGGGTGAGGAGCCGGTCTCCCGCAGCCCCCGGCGCTGGGAGGGCGAAGAGGAGCGGGACCTCCGGGCAGCCACTGCAGCTCTGCCCCCGGGCTGCCTTCCCGTTCGGAACAGCGCTGAAGAGGAGCGGCGCAGCGGGAATCCCCGGGCAGCGCCTGATTCGGCGCTCCTCCGAGGCACTCCTGCAGCACAGCCTCCACCGCCGGCGGGACCCCCGCCACCTGCAGCTCGCCCCGCCGCCCCCATCCCGCGTAGATGTGGGCGGCACCTTCCTCCCGCCTGCAGCTCCTTCGGCAGCCCCTCCTCCCCACCTGGGAAACAGGCTCCCTTCTCTTCCCGGCCGCTGTGCAGACACCCGGCTCTGCACGTAGCAAATGGTGGCGATTTCCTCCTTAGAGGCACCACATGGAAAGTATTGAGCCGTCTGTGGTTTGCTTTTGTGGTTTATTTTTTTTCTCTCTCTTTTTTTCCTTCCTTCTCTCCTTTTCTTCTCTCTCTTTCCCCCCCCTCCTTCCCTTGCCTGACACGCTCTCCGTGTCCTATTGGATGCAGTGTTAGATCTCCCACACTTCTCTGATTGCTCATATACATCTGCTCCCAGTCACCCTGCACAGTGCTGAATGTCAGGAAATGACTGACTCGCACAGTGAGCACAGCTGGGCTGACCCCGCAGGGGCAGGGAGCAAGGGAGCAGGGGCAGTGGTAGGGGCACTGGGAAGCAGGGGGGAAGAAGGTTTTTGGAAGCCATGACATGGCCAAGATCTCCTGTGCTGCTGGTCTCCCAGAAGGAAGAGCTGTGAGGGTCCCCTGTGTCTCACCACTCCAGTCTGCTTGGTGTCTTTGGGGTTAGTTTGCTAACAGAGGGGACACAGGGGTACTTATTCTTTCACTTTTCCAATGGATTATTATTTCCCAGTGACCAAGGAGAGTGAAACCACCAAGCAAACCCTGCAGAAGAGCCTTTTGCTCACCCTGCTCAGGACCTGGGGCCAGACACAAATACACTGTGTGTGTTGCTTGTGTGAGGTGCCCACCAGCCAGTGGGACTGGGATGGCCAAGGAAAACTTGCACTGACTGGGAGTGAGTCTTTTTAAATACCCAATGCTTGGCATAGTCTGCCCTGACAAGGAAAGCAAAATGCCAGGGACCTAGAAAGGAGAGGTGCTATGGGCCATGAACTGAGGGTGGCAACCAGCATCACTACTTGTACATAATGCATTATAAGGACTTCTGCCATCATTGTTGTCTTGGGATAGAGTCATAGTTCCCACAGACTACAATCCTATGATTCTATAACTGGCCACAGCACCAGGGAAGGGAGAACTGCAGCCCAGTGATGCTGCCCATCAGCCAAAGCAAGGGCAGGCAACAGAGGTCAGGACCTGTGTGGGACAGCACTAGTGGCTATTTGTGTGTGGGATGACTTTTCTCTTGAAAAGGTTGGAAGCTGGGCAGGTATAGAACATATATAGGCACCTCAGAACTAACAGTGCCAATAGTTAGTCATCACAAGGACATGGTCCAGGCTCCATGCTGGGGGTAAATGACTCATTGAAGTCTGTTGGACTAGAGTTTTGTTGCTCTTGGCACTCAAGCTAGCTGGATTTAATGCTACGTTGGGTACATCCTTTGTGACTGGTAGAGTGTCCTTTGCAGCATGCTGTGCCATTTGCAAGGACAGCACATATGCTCTCTGGGACAAACACCCTATTAGCCCAAGAGCCCTTCCTCTCCATCCGTACCCTGTTGTGTGTTTGAGGGAGATGCTAATGGAGTCAAGAAATTTGCCATAAATTCTTACAGGGAATTTTTGCACTGGGCAGCTCACTGGCTTGTCTCAGTCGCTGCACCTCGTCTCCACACCTAGTAGTGCACACTGTCAGGGCTGCCCCTGTGAATGTTCTGAGTATACACACAGATGTCACTGGAGGGCAAGGGGCGCATGGTGGGCAGGGTATTTTAGAATGTGTTCACAAGCTGAGTATCTAGGCTGCTGCTATGTTCTGTTAAACAGCATGCTAAGGAGCTCCCCCATTTCTGTTGATCTGAGCTGGGCAGGTGGAGTGAATCCCTTCCTCTAGGCAATGCTGCTGATTCCTCTTGCTGGAACCCATAGTGTGTGAGAGCCACAGCAGTGGTTCAGGAGGGGAGGTGGTGGCTCTTCTCTCCACCTGCCTGCTTGGTTTGTCCTCTGGACCATTTCCTTCCTCTAAGTAAGCATCCACCTGACTCACGTTTGAAACCCTTTCCTGCTGCTGCTCCTAGAGCTCACTGCACACTGCATACAGGAACTGCTGTGTCTGTGCAGACCTTGCACCATGACATCCCTTGGAGCACGTTCCCTGTCCTCCCACCAGCTGCTTACCCTGAGTTGGTTACAAACTTTCTCTCTTCCTTACGTCTAAGCCCAGTCTTTTGTCTCCCAAAATTTTAACACTGTTCAAGTTCTCCTTAAGATCCAAGCCCTCTTCTGCAAGCTGCAGTCCAAGCATGGCTGGTGCTTGCACAAGTTTGCAGGCATGCAGAGCATGAGGGGTTTCAGAAGGCTGGGGGGCTCTTTAGACATTGGTGATGTACTACCTTCTCATTGTTTTGGTACCCACCTAACCCCTTGGTGGGGTGCTGGGAGGGTGAACACAGGGTGCTGTCTGCTGAACAAGCTCAAAAGTGGCTGCATCTTGCTTGAAAACCAGAAGGATTTTGCTCTTGGAGCATGTGGAGAATCTTTGGTCAGTGATAGGGGGTTTCCTTTGTTACCAGTTCCTCAGTAGCATCCCTGGTTGGATCAGCTTGAAAGGGGCTGATCCAAACAACACCAATAGACTCGACTCTTGGTGGCCAATGGTGGAGGAGGTGACTGTGGGGTGACAAGAGATGCAGCCCATCAGGAGCCAGAGGAGGGCCCAGGAGATGGGGCTGCCTGGGGGAGGTACCCTGCAGAGAGGAGGTCTAGATTCCCCTACCCCTCACCATCTCCACTTTTTCAGGAGCTCAGACCTGTTAGTTCAGGCAGCCAGCTCTACTGCGAGCTCAGGGATGTACTGAAGTGGG